GTTTCTTCCGTCACGGGAATAGCATGGATGCCATAGTGGCTAGCAAGCTTAGTCAACCAGGCTTCTCCAGAGGTGCAGAACTCGACCATCACAATGTAATGCGGTGCCTGCAACCGACAACGACCAACCAACACACTCCAAGGATCATCGACGCTTGCAGAAAACAGACCTTTGAACGCGGCAAACACAAGGCAACGGACCGGGGGCGCATCACCTCGAAGATAGTCACTACGGGTGAGACGTTCCTCAAGACACAACTGTCCTATATGATACCAAGTTTGCGCGACACTCAAGTTCTTTGTTTGCAAGTCGGCGACGTTATCCGTTCCTGGGACGTGTGTAACCAGGATCTCGCCGTTCTCAACCTTATCCTGCAAGTAGCTTTTGACTTTGACTTTGATGCGCAATCGCTCGAGAGCGATTAAGCGAAGGGCATCGGTATCAGAGTGTATTACTCTAATGCCGCGGCAGCTACAGGGCTGCAGATCATTGTTGGATCTTCCCAAAGGCTAAGGACCCCGCTGCGTACAGCCAAGCAGGTCCGCCAACTAAGACTGTACAACTAGTTTGACGAGTGAAGGCTAAAGGAGATGCAACGTTTGTGTAACAGCAACTCCACTACTAAGCAAAAAAGCGTGACTGGTTTTCAGTCGGCGCGCTGCAAGAAAATGATGTATGCGTTTTGCTGGATCCCCACAAGCTCCGAGGACTTTACTTTGCGAGCCGTGGCGTTATCATCAGTGTAGAAGGACTGCGCAAGCACGCCATTCGGTGGCATCAAAATTGAGCGATAATGACCGCTGTCGGGTGTGGGACCGTGATGCACTGCACAAGCTCTCACAAAGTACTTAACGAAGTACACATCTTGCAGATTGTCGCGAAAAGCAGGAATGTGCACTAAGGGCTCCAGGCAAAGCTTGAAGTCGGTCTTAATGCAAGCTCCATCATTCGTGCTGTCAAAACGGCCCACTTGAATCGCACAAAACTTTGGCGGCTTCAGGAGCGCCTGTGGTTCCGCCTGTTGATGCCAGCACGATAGCAAGTCTTGCAAGCCGCACTCCGAACACGGTGTGGGATCATCAGCTGCTGAGGCGGGCCTGTTTGCAAGCAGCATAGGCCACGTGTGGCCCTCATCCACAACCTCCAAGCCACGATGGGGCGCGGACCCCGCAGTCCCCCACGAACCGTCGATCAATGAAGCATTGAGCTGTGGACGCATGTAGAGCAAAAACTCCGCAATGTCATGCTGCCTCCTAGGTGCTCGCCAGGTACGGGTGGCACTAATCCAGGGCAGCACAGACCAAATGTCAACTGCCCGGCCAGCCTGAACCAAGGATCGCAGCGATGATCCCAGAGGACCTTCGAAGAGTTGGCATCCGAGAAAGGTTTCAGTCCACACAAGGCTCAAAAGTAAGGAATTGGCATAACAGCTGTTGCGACCTTGATTGAGAAGCTTCCAAGTTTTTATTTTAGAGCGTACCGCATCTGCCTCAATCTGAGTGTGGCGCCCACCCGGAGCCACCGGAGAGGGGAAGTCCACTGGGGAGGAGCCTCCTATGCACTGCCCTGCCGTACTCACCAATTCAGCTTTTTGGCCATGGGTTGCAACTCCAGTCGCTCGCGACGCATTGTCATGCCGATAAGCTGAAGACATCCCGCTCCGCACAAGTCCTGAAGAGCCTGAAACAGTTGATGCGATGTCTGGCCCTGAAGGGAGATCTGCAACAGGAATGGCATCGTGTTCTCCACATTCTCTGTCAGCTTGCGAGTCGCTGCAAAGCGGTGGATCATGTGGTCCATGTTCAATGCTCGAAGGATCGACGTGATGTGTTGCACCAGGGAGTCGTGCGGGACCTGTCGAACTGGATCCTCCGGGATGAGGCTCTCGTGAGTCTGTGACCACTTCAGATACTGCCATTGCATACCGTCCCGGCTGAGCCAACCGTGCTTGCGGGCTGTGGCGATGTGGCCCTCGTTCATATGCTCCATTCGATCCTTCAGGACAGTGAAGACCTTCATGAGGAGAGCCTGGCGCAATGTAAGATTCTGAAGGGTACCCTGGGTCTTCGCCTCGTTCCAAAGCTTGCTCGCTTGAAACACCTCTCTCAGGATGCCGTCCGGGCCCGACCTCATGTGGAGAACGAACCCTCGATCCACACGAAGAGCTGCTAGCTCCCACTCGTGTCGCACCAGCAGCTGCCGAAGCAGCTGGATCTCCTGCTGTGTCACATACATGTCCGAGTAGCCCTGATAGCCTTGGTAGCTCGGATAGCTCGGATGCCACGACGTTGGTGCCAGCTGCCACGAGGGATCCTGAGACGACTGCCACGGTGTCTGATGAGTGCCCTTTCCTTTGCCCTTGTTCGGGCCCTTTCCCCAATATCCGCCGTGCCCTCCTTGACCCTTGCCCTGATGCTTCAGTTTTTGGCTCTGGTTTTGGCTTAGCGGAGCCCCTCTGCGCTTTGGCGGCATCGGGTGTGCCGACGGCGGGTGGCGGAAGGACGGGAACGGGCTCGGCAGCGGTTGGTTGAACACCGACTCGAACTCCATCAGAGGCGAGGGCTCGGGTTCCATGCTCATCTCGGAAAACATAGCCGTGGTGAGCAGCTAGCAGCCGCGCAGCAAAGAGCACAGCGCAGGCTTCGCGGTGGCGGATTCGTGCCCCCTTCCAAGCAATGCCACACAACTGGCACGGGGATTGGATAAAGTAAGACGACTTACGACAGACTTCAATGACCTCTTGAATCAAGTCCTGTTGGTCCCCATGTTTTGTGCGCATATGCTTCTTGACTTGACCGCTACTGTTGGCAACCCAAAGGTGACAAAGCGGGCAGTGTGCCAGTGCAACTTCCCTAAATCCTGGGGATTGAGCCAATTGCAGCCAGCCCCCCTCGCTGAGATGTTGGAGCGTGCTCGGCCTGTCCCTGAGCGGAGTGCTTTCTGTGCTCGCTTCTTTCGGGAGCGGCGGATGCTGTCCGTAATCCCTGCTATTGTTCGTGTATCCGTGCAGGACAGGACATGCTTGGGCCTCTATATGTCTACGAAACTGAGGTATGCCAGAGAAGGACTTACGACAGTGTTTGCAAGTGGGCATGCCCGCGTACGAATGTTCTTCGAACTTGAACGGTGCAGCTGTGGCCATGGCAAGCTCCCTCTCAGAAAGGCCGTGAATCGAGGTCATATGGTACCTCAAGGCCGTGGTGTCAGCAGCTTGGTAGTCACAGACAGGACACACCAGGTCAGCATGGGCACCCGTTTCAATCGGAGCCGGAGGTATCGTCTCAGTGGGGGTCGGGACCTCAGCATGTGTTGTGTTTAGCACGGCTACCGGGTCCTCCGGGCTATTCTGAGCGGCAGGTGGGCAATTGTCCTCCTGTGTCACAGCAGACTGCACAGCCGGCGGTGTCACCGCAGCGGTTGGATGGGAGGGAGCAGGGGACTTCCTACCTGGCACTTCAAGTGAGCTCCTAACAGCCTCCCAAACCTGTGTCAGGCCCTGTGGCTGCAATGCGAAGACCTGTGATTGACTAGTGCGTTCATGTCTGGCCTTTGCCTTGTCCAGCAGCATATCCGCAGGGTGTGGCAGCTCCAGCCTGAGCAGAAGGGCCGAGGTGGTTTCCTTGCTGATGTGAGACGGCGAGTTGGCCATAGCTCTCAAGTGTCGCACTGCCGTGGCATAAAGCTGACGGCGTCCAACGATGTCGAGGCCTGTGCAATCAATGCCGTAGCACATCGTGGTCCACACCACTGCCCTCCACAAGCGAACCCTGCAGCGCAGAGAAAGTCTACTGGTGCGCTTAGTGGCCACCTGGATCCTCGCGAAACTGGCCTGGGCGCAACGTGTTCGATATGCAGCCGTCTCGCGTTCCAAATGGTTATAAGACAACATTACTCCTAGGTATTTGTGCTTGGACTTGACAGGAAGCAATACATGATGCCCCTGACACGGAATTCTGGCGCACAGTCCCAGCTCGGGGTCGTGCGTTGTGTGCTTTTTCCAGAGCGACACATGCTTGGCACCTGCAAGCTTGATGAGGATCACCGATTTCTCTGTATTGGCACACAGGTTGTGTGCCTTCAAGAAGTCGAGTAGGAAGGCAACCTGGGTCAATGCCATGGACAGGTGCTCTTTGCATTGTATCTCCCATTGGCCCAGAGTGTCATCTGCGAACAGAGTGAGCAGGGGACGCAGCTCTCCTTGATCAAGTAACGGGCCTAGTTTGGCCATCAGATAGCCAGTGATGCAAGCCCAAATGATAGGGGCCAAACGGCATCCTTGTCGGAGGCCGCGTCCTGTCGCGGTGGACAGGGCCTCTCCCGAGCAAGAAGTATAGCTAACACGCATGGCTTCGTGTATGCCGACAATGACCTCGACCAGAGAAGTGGGCACGCCAGCCCACTCCAACGACTTAGCGATAAGACACCGGTCGATGGAATCGAAGGCCCTACGTAAGTCAATGCTCAGAGTAAGGCTGCCGCGGATCTCGTGCTGAGGTATACCTGCACGCCTGTGGTGGATCGTGTACTGTTGACCGACCCGTTGCCTAGTCTGGTAGATGTGCCACACAGCCCGATCAACCGCATCCGCTGTTGAACGCCCTACTAAGTATGCAAATTGTGGAGTGTCCGCCAGCTTGTGTGCGATGGTGTCCCTAACCCGGTACATAAGCATGCCAGCGAAAGATTTACCAAGAGGATGCAATAAGGAGATGGGGCGGAGCTTGATCACAGCATCAAGTTTCTGATCTGTTTTGGGTAAGAGACACAGAAATGAGATCGCCCATTCAAGTGGCCACTGCTGCCTAAACGATCCTGCTTGCAAGCCACACTTCAAGAGCCGAGCCGTGCACGAGCTGACTGTGTCAGCACACCAGCGCCAGAGTGGGGCAGGGGCACAGTGGGCAGGCAAGGCTTTATGCAACGGAAGTTCAGAAAGAGCGGCCTGGAATTCCATTTCCTCGAAGTGGAAGGGCTGTGTCAGCCAGGAGTCCTCCGTGGCAGAAGCTGAAGCAAATACTTCCGAGTAGTGAGCAAGTATGTGTTCCGCCTCCTTTCGGGGGCCAAGCAGTCGGCCATGCTCGTCTCTCAGCTGCAGTTTCCTCCGTCGGAGCTTTGGTGCAATGCGACGAATGATTTGATACAATGCTCCGGGGTTTCCTCGGGTGCTCGCACTCTCAGCATCAAGAAGTTGTTGCTGAAGCCTGGCTTGTTTGGCAGCCCGCACATGCTGCTGAATAGTGCGGCGAATGGCCTGGTATCGGGAGATGTGGTGCCATCGGGCCATCCACGACCTAGCTTGTGTGGCTCTGGTTCTATGGTGCCACATATTCGCAAGACAACAGTCCTTGGCATGGACCGTACTCTGTCGCCGAACGGGCCCGAAGACCTGGGACCAGGACTGAGTAAGTGCAGTGTTGATTCCTTCCATGTCGACACACTGGTCAAGTGCCTGTGCCACCAACTGTTGGAACTGCTGTGCCTTGACAGGCTGTTGGTTCAAGGCCAGTGAAGCAGAGTCAGGTGTGAGGCGTTGTCCCCGCATTTGGTGTCGTGGCAACCGAGGGCACGGCAAGCGTGCCCGCAGTGGGTAATGCCACATGCCCTCAATGGGGAGAAGCGGGAAGTCTCGCAGAAGCTGGGCACAGCGACTGCCGTCATCCGCCTGAGATCGGCGCATGATGATAAAGTCGATCTGCGATCCCTGGACAGGCTTTTGCGACGCGTTGATGTATGTGCTGCAGGCCAGGCCCGACTTGCCAAAGCTATTGAGTACTTGCAAGTCCTCATTCTTCAAGATATCAAGAAATTCATCCGAGTCAGCTGCCATGGGCGGAAGTTCACGGTGCCCCGCACGGACGTTGCGACGGTAGCCCTTTCCAACAAAAGGCAGACATTCAGTGACAGGGCAGTTGAAGTCACCTGCCAACACAAGTTGGGACCGGGCAGAGGTCCCATGCACAAATTGCTGAATCCTGCGCCAAACCGTGGCACGCTTAGAGAGCAGCAGCTCTTTTGCGGCAGTGCTGAGGTCACTTCGCCATGAGTGTTGGTAGACTGCTAGCAAGTTGGTACACGGCTCCGTTGCCAGCCTGACGTGGAGAAGGCGGCCCGGCTGAATTTCATCATACCTGATAAGGTTCGATTGGCACACTTGCTTGGATATTATCACCAACAGGCCCCCCTCTTTATTGCGGTTCGTGCCTGAGTGCACATAGGAGAACAGATCGTCCTCCCACTCACTGGAGCTTTTCCAGAATGTCTCCTGGATGATGGTGATCCCTGGACGTGCCTGTGGGGTCTGCATGTGGAGCCACTGCTTTAACTCGGCATACCTGGCCGAGGTGAGGCCTCCACAGTTCCAGCTAAGTACATCGATGGTGGGTCTGGCCTCCGTGGCTGCCTGGGAAATCTTGGTGTCAGCTCGATCCTTAAGATCGGCTCTTCCAGTTAGCCAGTGACCTCTGTACATGACCCCGCCCGCCGGGCTTTTCTGGGCCCGGGCGAGTGCTCGTCGGTAGGCGCGTTTGCGCGCTGGTTGCCACTTGCCTGGGGCATTTGCTACCCCATCCCCGTGTTTAACGTCCCCTGCAGACTGGGAAGTTGACGGAAGCATCGAAGACGCTCCTGGCGCGTAGCGGGTACTAGAGGCGCCAACCCTCACTCCAGACACTACGATCATGCTGGCCCAATGTATAAAGAGCACAAGGTAAAGAAATGGGCGCAATGAGATCGACTTAATGTAGTGCCTCCCGGACTTGGGACCGGGTCTAGTGCGATTCTGATAATAGGGCTTATGCTCTATGGGGAGAGACAATGCTTCTTTGTCGTGGTTTCTGAATGTGACACGGTGTATAGGCTCACAATGTGACTCTCTGCCTGCACTCATGCTAGCCGGTACTTCCATTGAGCTTGCAGGCTGTTGCAACCAAGGGCAGGGCCAGTCAGCCAGCTTCCGGAAACGGATCCAGGCATGCCTCCAGGATGAGGTCTCCTGGTAGCACCAGGTACGGCCGTACCCGGGTGGATGTGCCGTTCGGCTTGGGGCTCGGACTTTTCGGCGTCGGCCGGTGGTTGACGCACTCATGTAGCAGTGCAAAGTGGCATTTGCATCGTAACGATGCACGTACCAGCATCTTGGCGCACGCTCTGGCCGGCCTGCCTCGTGTCCCGTGGCCCGTGTCCCGTGTCCTGAAGCAGCAATGTTTTGGCATAAGAGCAGAGACAATAGGGCGAGGCCCCGGCGTCGCGCCGTGGCTCTGTGGCGGCTCTTCTGCACTGCAGTTCTTCGGCGATTGCACTGCCGACGTGGGTTCTGATGCAATCTCAGAGCTACCAGGTAGAGAAGCACACTCGCAGTCAGAGCGGGAGTCCATGTCCACTCCAGGGTCCCTCGAAGGAGACCTCGGGTCTGGTGGCATAGATGCCGCCTCAGTGCGGGTGCCAGGTCCTTCAGTGCTGCTGCTGCTTTCGCAGCTGCTGTCGCTGGTGCTGGATCGGGCGACCCTGTTGGCGCGGTTGCGTCTCCCAGGTGTGTCACGAGTGGCTGTCTGCTTGGGTTTGGGCTTTGCTTTGGATCGCTGCTTGGCTCTTGGTTTACTTGTGGTGGCCTTGGCAGAGCTCCTGACCATGATGTCAAGGTGCCCCAGAAAGTGATCCACAACCTAGAGAGGCCAATGCATGGAGCCGTGCTGAGTAGTGCAGTGGTTGCAGAGAATCGAGGTTCGCACACGGCTCTCAGCATGCGAAAACCTGACAAGGGGCCGGCCGAATTGCCTGGTTGGTAAAGTGAAAGCGGTGCTGAGGTATCGACTGGAGCACACATCTCCCAGCCGCCCCGCCCACTCCCTGCTACCAAAACAGGTCCCTGATGAGCCCCAGAGGATTGTGCAGAGTCTTCATGTGTCCCAAAGTCCTGTAGACACCCTCCCCACGGAAGAGTCCGACCTGCAGGTGGTACATACCCTATTGCTCGAGCGGCTGTCACGTGTTTTCCTGCCGCAACATGTTGTTGTGTGCTGTGTGGCCGGATTCGCAAGCACCTCAGACATGCGATGTAAGCATTTGTGCAAGCTGACCGACACAATGCAAGAGCATCTATGTATGCTGCAGCCGTCTTCCCGCACTGGTTCGGTCTGCCCCTCTGCTGATCTGAGACCAGCTGTGGGCGATAAACTTCACAGGGCAGAGGCTCAAAGGTAACATAGGCACTGTCACTGGAAGTAGCTTGGTGCTTGCAGCCCTTGGCCTTCTTGTCCAAGCTATGCTCACCGGTCCCCGCAATAGTCTCTTCGATAGAAACAGCAGTCGAGCTATCTCGCTGCAGTGTGGGTATCGCATGTGTCCGGTGTTGAAGCAGTGAATCTGTACTCTCGGGATACTGCAGCACTCGATGTCTAGGCAAGGGAGGCTTCGGTGGTTGTCGCAACGGTGGCCCCGGGGCAGCTTTGGCTTTGGCCGTCTGCTTGATGATGAATCGTTCCCGGCGGCCCGGTCTGCAAGCCGATCTCTTCTGCCGCGAGTCACTGCTATGAGCGCCCATGTGGAGAAATGTGTTGTGCTCTGAAAGAGACACTGGACCGTAGCTAGCTACGGCGGCTATGCGTCCCTCGAGCGAAAACTTACCAGAGAGAGGCATGGCAAGACCAGTAGCAGTGGCTGAGTGCATGTGACGGCTGAGCAACGGTCTGGTGCAGTGGCCTGCACGGCATCCTCGTTGATGGTTCCTGCAGGTCAAGAGGCGTATATGAACAGGTGCAGGTACAGCATCACCAGTGCGGAACCCTACACGACAACACATGCGAGTGTCAGAGTGCACGAAGCCTTCTGTACATCCAGGCTCGTTCCGTCGAGAGACCTGAGGAAGCGCGAGGCGGGTACACCCAGCACTCACCGAACCGGCACACCGCGCCTGGCTTAGGCAGTGAGCAGCTTGTACTTGTTGCCCTGGCAGCGTGGGTGCACCACAGCCACCAGACAGGATCATTGGACTCACTGGCATGATGAAGGAACAACCCAGGCCTATAGAAGCAGCATACTGGCACCTGCGGGCTATGCCATGCATTCTGCTACGTACTGGGGCCGGGAGTTAGAAGAGGACATTGGGCACTCCGCTGCAGCAGTTCGCAAAGGGGAGCATGAAAGAACCTCTAGCCACATGTTGTGAAAATGCATATCCCTGATTGGCTGAACCCAAGTTCCTGACCATGTCACCAGCTTGCCGAGCACATTGGACCTGGCAGTGTGAATGCTTAACAGCGTGGTGTCACCACAACTGTGTCTGGAACAGGGGACTGACCCATCATTCCAAGCGAAGACTCCTCGTGGTCCCAGGGACCTGCAAAGGGGATGGAGTCTCGGCGTGGAGGCACCACAGCCATGACTGAGGTCGCAGCAAGCAGTAGCTAAAGTAAGCCAGCCACCTGTAACAGGATAGTTCTCATGACAGGGCATGTGTGAGGTCAGCTCAACACTGCAGCAACGCGGTCGAATGTGTGTCCCAACATGATGCTGTGAAAACTGCAGGTGTGGCCCGCTCCTCTCGCAACAGGGCCGGGTAGCTTGTTTGAACCATTGCAAGCAGAAGGGAGCGTTCCCTAGGGAACAGCAGGTCGCATGCTCGTAGCAGAACTTGCCTCGGGCAGCTGCCTCGTAGCAGCTCTTTAGCCAGGTCTGTTCCATATCGATACTGGCTCGTTGTTGCAAGCTGCAGTGTGTCCGCAACCAAGTCCAATGCATATGCTCGAATGTGCGTGGAAGTATCAATACCCGTTGCAGGCGCTTCCCGGTCGGCCGAGCTGTCGCATGATCCAATGGATCCTGTAGGGCTAAGAAAATATCGCCGAGGAAAATCGATCGACGAGCTTCGAATGGTGTGTGAGCTGCTCGAGCTGCTCGTTCGTCTCTTCTCTCTCCGACGCCTCCGTTTTGCTCGGACCCGAATACGCCTTCCAGGCGGCATTCTCCAGAAAAGCAAAAGCAAATCTCGCAGGAAATCGCCAGGAAAAGAGCGCAGCAAAGAGCCAATCGGAAAACCATGCAGCGAAAACTACGGCCAACTTGTTGAAGGTTCGAGGGCCTAAAAGCCAGTCTAGAGAGCCTTTTACCGTTGATGTCGAGCCCCAGAAAAGATTTCGGCCACGACGGCCCCGAACTTGAGCGCCCCATAGAGCGCTTGAGCACTAGAGGAGCTTCCTGCAAGTAGCAAAGACGAAGGTCCACATGACGCATCCTTCTCAGGAAGCCGGACATCATACTGACTTGGCGAGCGGAAGAGCTGTCCGTAGGCAGGTATAGGGGTTGCGCAACGCTTTCGAAAAGGTGGCCCAAAAGCTGCCCCAATCCTACAAGCTCGCGCGCCATCTCAACCATAGCGAAAAGCTCGGACTCCGCACTGGAGAGTGCTACGATAGGCTGGAGCCTCGAGTAAGTCTTGATACAATTCCCATTCAGGTAAATCACTCCTCCGCTGGTGCTCTTCCGGCCAGTAGAGCGCTCAGAGGCCCAATTAGCGTCGCTGAATCCAACGAGGGTTGCAGTCCCAGGTTGAGCTTTGGAGTCCTTCTGAAAGACCTGAACAAGATCGGGAACCTCCAAAAGCCAACGAAGCACTTTACGCATACAATCCTCATGCACAGCGCGCGGACAGGCTTGACCTCTAGACAGCATGGAGTGAAAATAACACAAATCCCCCCTGGTTTGCACAAGCCAGCCTAGTTCCCCTAGGGTGCTTCTAAAGCGGCTCGCGGCTTCAGGGGAGAGCTCTTCGGAGGGCTTCTCGGGGTCTTCCTTGTCAAGGATCGATCGGAGGTCTGGTGGTGCAGTGCAGGGCTTCATCTTCCTGCGGTTCTCCTGGCTCCACCCAAAAGCCTCGAAGATCGAATCGACGTATTCTTTCTTCACAGCCAAAAAGATCTCATGGCCACGCTTGATTATCTCACGGCCTAGGAATCCGATCCTGCCGTCCTCATCCAAGCGTCCAGTCAACTTGACCTTAAGACGGCCCATGAGGAAGTCTAGAAGCTGTTGGTTTGCCTCTTTCGTTCTTGTGGCTAGCAAGATGTCGTAGACGTACACAAGACAAAGCACAAGGATGTCTCCCCAATACCCTTTGTACAACGTAGGTTCAATAAGGGAAGGAAACAATCCCAACTCAGCAAGAAGTCCAGCAAGATGCTTCTGCCACGAAAGGCCTGCCGATCTCAAGCCATATATGGCTTTCTCCAGGATGACGTCAACCTTAGAGCCATCAAGGTTCTGAAAGCATCCCGGCAACTCAAGCACGGTATCAAGAACCAACTTGGCATACAAGAAGGCAGTCGAAACATCAAGTCCCCAGAGGACAAGCGTATCCTGGACAACACGGCAGATGAAAGCATTGAAGGCCTCCACAGAAGCAGTCTGGCTCGCAATGCCCAGCGCGGATGGTTGATTGAAAGCAAAGTCTTTTGCAACAAGGCGAGCACGCACAATGTGCTGGTCGTCAACATCAACCTTGTCAGTGAAGACAAAACGCGACTTAATGATCTTGGCACCTGTTTCCTGGCAGTGGGTTTTAATTTCATCATAGGTGCGTGCGTTGCCGACACCCAAGTTGTGCATGGCAGACACCTCTTT